TAAAGCTTGACTTGGCTGGCCTACAGCAGCACTAAAGCGAGGGCCAAAAAAAATAATTTAGCCAGTTTCCTCCTTACTTCAAATATAGTCAATCGGCCAAGACATGTCTGCTTCTTTATTTCTGCAGTGAAGCTAGGAAGCTAATGTAGCTAACAATTTAATGAAAGCTTAGACTACATCAATTAGCATTGTGTGCATGCCTAAATCATCACACACATGCCTCAAATAGACTTGCTTATGTGGTTTCAGACACTGTATGACATACTGTTATCTATAAAAGTAGACAAAAGCACGTCAGATGGCTAAAAACTGTATTAGCAGCCATGTGGAAGCTCTTACTTTTGTCCACTTTTATAGAGAACATTGAGTCAAGCATTGTCAGAAACCACATACGCCGTTAGAAATAAAGGTTCTGTGCAGGTACATTTTTCCTTCATCAAGGTACAAACAATGTAAATGTGCCCTCAAAGGTACAACAGTGGTTTTAAGGTCTGATTGTGAACCTTAAATAAGTTTTTCCAGGTGAAAAGTTCGTATTTGTATCTTTTCATAACCAAATGTTTTCAAACAGAACAATAAAATAAAAGCCTGGAGGCGAGACGGGGTGTGTGGAGTCAGTACAGCTTAGAACATATCATTTCAGTGGATTATGGTCCAGTTATGTTCCCTGACTAAAGGTTCTGAGATGGACCCTTGAAGGAACCACCCCAGTGTCAAGAGTGACAGTTTAGTACCTTTATTTCTGAGAATGTATGCAGGGCATTTTAAGATTACTAATTATCAATTCCAGTGCAAAATGAAAGAAGAAAACTTCAGACACCAAACAAGTGCATATCAACCACATTTGGGCTAAGGGGGGAAATCTGACTTTGTAGGAAAAACGATCACTATAACCATAGCCATCTGATACTCTTAGTGAGCCCACCAGTTGGCAGCCCACCAAGTCTCAATCTCAACCCACTCACTTTCAGTTTCATAATGACTGGGTCATGTTCTCAGCACAACTATTAAAAGGGGTGAAAAGGGTTCTTTGAGTGATGCCACTTTTGTTTCCCTAAAGAACCATGTTTGAAATAAGATTTCTGAGAGTGAAGAACTTTATGTTTAAAGAAGCTTCACACAGTGTAAAGGCTCTTTACCAGCAGGGCTCGGCAACATGCATCTCCGGAGCCACATGTGGCTCTGTTACTGCCCTGTTGTGGCTCCACAGCAGAATTAGATCTTTAGGTAAAAATAAAATAATCCTTCTTTGCAGTAAAATTGTTCGTTCAACACAGTTTTAACAATAAATGGTAAACGTTGGAGTTAATGTGTATCTGCTAATTCACCCTTTAACCCTGAAGGTTGACACGCAGACTGCTGGTCAACATAGCAACAGACAACAGTCTTGCCTAGCTAGTAGCTAACAAAAAGGCAAAGAGAAAGATTTAAGACTAACATCGATAATTTGGAGACAAATTGACTTATTTGCATTTATAATCACTCCAGATGGTTTCCTGATATGTTTAATCTGCAACGAGAAACTGTCAAATACTAAAGAGTCGCGATGCTGAAGTCAGCTTCTCATTCGCCAGCTTCTCCTTCGAATTTTCCAGTTCCACCTTAAATGGTGCAGCAGTTACATTCTGGCACCATTTAAGGTGGAACGGAAAATTTTGAACAAGAAGCTGGCAAATGAAAAGCTGACTTCAGCCTTGTAAAAAGTTTAATGTCGAGAGACATTTTACAAGAAACTATTCTACTTTTGCAGAAACGTTTCCTGTCGGAGATGCGAGAAAAGCGGCTATAGCTGAGCTAAAGCTTAAAGCAGAGCAAAGTAAGTCTGTGTTTTCGTTGGTAAAATGGACATAAAATGTTGTGGCTCCCAAAGTGGTTTGATTTTTGTTGAAAGGACCAAATGGCTCTTCTTAAAATTTTGGGTGCCGACCCCTGCTCTATACCAAGAGCAGTATTTTTCTTTGAAACTTTACATCATGTGGAAGCTATTTACACTCACGCAACTGATTTACAAAAATGGTTCTCTAAAGAACCATCAAATGAAATCTTTTAAGGTAACCACAAGTGGTTCTTCTATGGCGAGGCTTCCCATCCAGGGGTTTGTGGTGGCATTGCAGGGGAGTTTGTGAGACTGTGATGAAAATGTCACTGTCAAATCAAATTTTAATTATAAATATACTTCTTTTACAAGTAAAAGAGCCAAATCCAACATTGTGTGACAAAAAGACGTTAATTTTCCAATCGATAATGCTCCACTCAGTCATTACTGAATGGAGCATGTCATATGATAAGTGTTGTACAGTGTAATTTACTGACAGTATGACAGTGTAGGCTACTAAATCATTCTGCGTCTATCATTTTAAGTGTGTGATACGTGTGAAGCAGCTTTCTAATTTAAGCTTATTTGAAAAGACATTTGGAAACTAAACATGCAAACCTGTCCATAAAACCATTTTATTTAAAAAATGCTTAGGAATTTGCTTCATTTAGCCTATTTAAATCTTAATCTCAAGTGCCCAACCCCCTAAATGCGCTAGGCCCACCGGCAGGCCCGAAGTTTCATTACACACTTCTATAACCTAAGAATAGCTCAGCCAGTTTGCATTGAAGTCCCTGTAGTTACTGAATAATAAGACTTAGTATGTAATAATCCTGTGATTTTAAGGGGTTAAGGCAAATCATTTATGTTGAAAGGATTCCGGCTGACACAAAAGGTTGGGAACCCCTGTTTGAGGGCATTGCAAAAAGAACCCATTCTGGCACCTTTATTTATGAGTGTGCAGACTTGCACTGGCCCTGTTTTGAATGCAACAGCATTCAGAGCTCCTCACAGTTATTTATTCAGCAAATTGCTCACAGGTGTTCTGCAAAGAGGAACATGTTGCCTGTGGATATGAAGCAGAAATGAGGAGATGTGGGGCGATAACTCACGGCGAGTGAGCGATGGGGCTATTTGTGTGTAGATGCAGCTGCAGCAGGTGGGGGGCACTGTTGCATCTGAATGCAGCACCACACACGCCATTTAGATCCAGCTAGTAGTTTCACTGCAATCAGAAAAATGAGTCTGTTTTCTGTTTTAAGTCCTGAGCTACTGGACGGTGAACAGCTCCTATGAGCTGATTAAATATGGTACCTATATGAGAACTGAACTTTGATTTGAACATTGAGACAAAGAGCCTTTAGGTGCATTTAAAACAGATTTAACATTAACTTTATACTGCATATATTTCATGTCATTCGTAATAGAGGTACAGCAGTTTATCACATGGGAGTGATAATGCAGGGAATATGACCCTTGGACTACTATTACACTATAAACGTCCAGGTCATAGAGTATTGTTATCTTTTATGTTATGCAAGGCAGATAAAAGTACAAATTTACTTTCAGTTAGAAATGGAGCAATACCACACTTTCTTTTTCAACACTGATACTAATACAGCCTGTAGGGATGCCGGTTCAATATGTTTGCTTTAAAAACAGCTGAGCTTTAAAATGAGCTGAAGCACTTCATATAAGATGAGCATCTAAAACATGGGCTTTTTTGTGCACACACTTAAAAAAAGATGGTTCTTTAAAGGTTCTGCAGTAAAGAAAATGGTGCAATATAGAACCATGAACATACTTTGCATGATTAAAGGGTTCTTTGCATCGTGAAAATGTTCTTCAGACTGATGGAGAATGCGTTTCATTTCACCTTTTTTGTTCTATATTGCAATATTTATATATATATATATATATATATAAATATATATATAGCAATAAAAAGGTTCTAAATAGAACCATCTACAGCACAATCTCCATCAATCTGAAGAACACTTTGCCTGATTACAGGGTTCTTTGCAATGTGAAAACATTTGTCAGATCGATGGATCTTTTTTGTGCTATATAGCACCAAAAAGGGTTCTTCTATTGTTACAGGCTTGACGTACAACAGACGACTCCTTTTTAGTGCTATATAGAACCCTTTTCAAAAAGGTTCTACAGAGAACCATCTACAGCACATGAAAGAGTTCTTCAGATTGATAGAGAGTGTCTTTTATATAGTTCTATACAGAACCTTTTTTGTTCTATAAAGCACCAAAAAGGGTTCTTCTATTGTTACAGGCTTGACATCGTGACAATAGAAGAACCCTTTTTGGTGCTATAGAAAACTCTTTTCAAAAAAGGTTCTATATAGAACCATCTACAGCACATTCTCCATTAATCTGAAGAACACTGTGCATGATTAAAGGGTTCTTTGCATCATGATTTTTTTTTCAGATTGATGGAGAGTGTGTTTTATATGGTTCTATATATAAAATATAAGTACCGTAACATATTGTGTATTGTGAAAATTCTTCAGACTGAATGACTATATATATCAGCGATGACTATATATGTGTATAAATATATTCCTATTATGACCTTCCTTATGAGCTTAACGGGGAATTCCTTCTGATTCTGTGATGTAAACAGAGTCATTCAGAGAGGTTTAGTGTGAAATGGTTCATTGTGGTGACAGGAACCAGGGGTCGCTACAACACAAATATAGGCATTTTACATGTTTTATACGTAACGGTGATGATAGTAAAATAGCCATAAATCTTAAACAGTATATGTTTTCTTTGTACCATCTGCCACAACTGGATTAAAATAAATGGATTACGGCCAAAACTTTATCACAAAACAATGTCTCAGGCATTAGGCAGCTTATTCCTAACCATTCTGTGTAATATCTTTCTTTTTAAGAGGTAGTAAACTCTTCAGGACGTCTGGTTCCATTCACCACCACTGCGAACTATTCTTACCATTTAAATATGTAGAAATTTGGTGGAGCTCCCCTTTAATTATGCTCCAGAGCAAATTTACTTTTGGTTTTTAGATGTATTTGGACAGCCACTGGGAGAAGAGATGAGTCAGGTGTGACCTGAGAGCGCTATGAGGTAACACGCACCTATCAAACACACCTTTAAAGCACCTGTTAGATCAGCGTTTATAGAGCAGCAGATAATATGAAGCTGTTCGGACGGTTTGCTTGAGGAAGTCCCTGAATATTGCGGGCTGGGATTGTTCAGGGATTTTATGGGCGTGACGTTGACGTGACGTCACGTGCCTAGAGCCGGGAGGCAGTGTGTGTATGTGAGTTTCGGTACAGAGAGAGAGAGAGAGAGAGAGAGAGAGCTCAGTCACATACACGGCGGAGACGAGTCAGGCTGCGTTGTGTTAGTCTCTAAACCTGAGAGAGAAACGAGCCTGTTTAAGAAGAGCGAGGCTGATCTTGAAAGTGTGGTTTAAGTCGTGGAAAAAGCCCAGAGACCGTCACTGAGCTCTAAGGAGACAAGAAGTGGACTTGAGTGCTTTCGGTTACGGACACCTGTTTTTTTTTAAGCTTTTTAAACCAAACTACTGTTTCGGCGTTGAGAAATCCTCGTTTTTTGAGACACCATGCTGTGGGATTCTCCTCTCAGCTCCACAGGACTCTTCGGCTTCGTCTTCTTCCTCATAATTCAAGGTAAGAATGGCAATAAAACGAACGAGGCTCAAGTTGGTTTCCCTTTGGCCAGCTTCTCGTTCGAATCTCACCGTTCCACCTTAAATGGTGCAGCAGTTACATTCTGGCGCCTCAGGCGCCAGAATGTAACTGCTGCACCATTTAAGGTGGAACGGGAAAATTCGAAAAAAAGTCATTTCTGTGAACTTCGGTGAAAGCTTTCCTTTGGGATCAGCTGACTTGACCGAAGTCCCTGAGTTTGTTTATATTCGACACATTAGCCTAATATTAGCATTAGCGCCCGTTCCCATTTCTCTCCTAACTTGGCGATAAAAGTTAAAAAAAGTCGTTTTTATTATTTAGCTCGTACTCCGTCGTTATCTCTTCGTCTTGCTTATTTAAATATCCGCTCTCGGTTTGACCTGACCGGTTTCGGTCTTTCGCCATTTTCCGTTTTCCAGTCAGGCTGCCTGAGGTGTGGCCAGGCAAGGTATTTTTCCTGGAGGTGGTGGTGGCAGGTGTAGCCCTGTAGCCACTTAGCGATACCACTTCTTTGAAATGGAGGAAAACACCTCGCTTATCTTTCTTGCCTTCCTTGTCCTCCTTTTGTCATTCATTTCCTTCGTGTTCTCCTCTTTCTTCACTGAATTGTGTGAATGGGTTTAGCCGTAATCAGCTAGCCAACCGCGCAGCTTCGGAAAGCAACAGGGTGTCGACCGTTTTTACCGTTTTTATTTGAATTTAAAGGGGAACTCCACTGAAATATATCAAAATTTCCATATGATTCTAGCGGTTCAGAGATAAACTGCCATCCAGAGTGGTTTGACTTACGTTATACATATCCTCTGAGGTTTTATATGTAACGTTGACGATAAAATAGTGGTCAGTTTGGAACAAATAAGTTTTCTTGGCCTTAGAGCACTCTTGCTGGATGAAAATAAATGGATTAAAACACGTTTTAGACCTAAAAGGAATCACAAAAATACTGTGTTAGGCATCAGGCAGTGAATTCATAACCATTTCATGTAGTAACTTTCTGTGAGGGAGCTTTTAGAGGTGGACGTCTGGTTCCTATCACCACCACTGTGAACAATTCTGACTCTAAGCTTCGAGGTTTGGGCCTAAAATGTGTTTAAAATCCATCCATAGTGGAGAATGCCTGTTACTGTTTTGGTTACATGCAGATCTTTGAACCAGGAGACTAGGATGTCTGTCCACAGCAGTGGCGTCCAGTCCTGGAGATCTACCTTCCTGCAGAGTTTAGTTCCAGCCTGTGTCCCATAAGCTTCCCATCTCGCTTACTTAACTCTAAGGCTGTGTTCAGACTGCAGGTCAATCGGATGTGTTTCTCAAATCAGATCTTTTGAGACGACTGTCCGCACCGTTATTTGCAAGTGATCAGATCAGATTTGTGGGTTCAGGCATCACTGACTTGTCTGCATGGGTTGCTGTGGGAACGACGTAGGCGTCAGTAATTGCATCATCTCGCCCTCCAAACTCTTCTGAATTCTCTGGCGTAAACATGAATCTTTGGCACTCTTCTTGAATCCCAGCACTACCGTCAGTCTGGGTTTGACGTTGTTGTTGTTGTTGTTTGTTGTGTTGCGTGTGACACATTGAAATCGGACTTAAGCATCCAGAGCGTCCAGACTGAGACACATGAGTAAAAATCCGATTGGAATTGTGTTTCAGTCCACCTCCAAATGTGGTTCCAATTGGCAAAAATTGGATTTTTTGTGGGTTTTTAGGTGTCCAGACTATCAAAAATCAATCTGGATACACCAAAATTGGATTTGGGCTGGCTGTTTGAACTTAAACAGTCGTTAAGAGTGGTATGATGGGGTTCATTGTAGAGCAGGGGTGCACAACTCCGGTCCTGGAGGGCCGGTGTCCAGCACATTTTGGTGATTTACCTGCTCAGCTACACCTGATTATACTCATCTGTTAATTGGCAGGTTTAATGGGGGTGTTTGAGTAGGGAAACCTCCAGACTGTGCTGGACACCGGCCCTCCAGGACCGGAGTTGTGCACCCCTGTTGTAGAGGAGCTTGGATGTCTTTACATTGCTGGCGATAGGAATTTTGCCCTGTCTCTTTAGCCTAATACATCTGATACAGCCAATCAGGGACTTGGGAAGAGGTTGATTAGCTGGAGCAGGTGTGGCAAATTGTGGTTGGAACTAGGCTCTGCAGGAAGGTAGCCCTCCAGGATCAGGGTTAGAGACAACAGATCTACTGCAATACTCGGATTCTCCACTTCGTGATCGAGGGTGTCATGGCTCATCAAGGCCTTGTAGCCTTTGGGTGGTTTGCTTAGTTTGCTTTATTCCATTTTTACCATGTTTTGCCCTTGGCCAGCTCACTGGGGGCTACAAAGGCTGACTGGTGGCTCCGGTTACCTTGGCTGGTAAATGTTTCAGTAGGTGTATTCACCTGGTGTCATGTTGGTGAATGAGATCCAGCACCTGGTGGCTTCTCATCCGCCAAGGTGCACAGAAGTGGGGGGGGCGGGAATCAGACACGTCTTCATTTTTGTGTCCCATGGCCTCGTGGGGATCACTGTGCAAATCGCAGTGACATGGTGGGAAAAGTTCTTTTGTTCCCTGTAAAGTGAAAGGACGCTGTCGCTCTTCGCCACTCCAGAAACGCAGTCGCGTCCTCTGACTTATTCATGGAGTGGACCTTTTTCTGCCCGAGCGTGTTTCACAGTACATCAGCCGCGCTTCACAGAGGGAGCGGGAAACTGGAATAAGGAGACAAAGGGTTTGTTTTATTTATGAACGAAGCGGCGGAGGTTGGAGGGGAAAAAAGGTTTATTCTACGCACAGAAAAAGGGGCCCCTGACGTGTGCTTCCTCTCTTCATCCGTTTAGCTCGGCGCCCTGGGAGCTTTTTTCCTCTGCAAACAGCAGGGCGACATTTTTGGCAGGGTCGGAGCTTTTACAGAAGAGCTACACCAGTTTTTTAAAAGTTGTGCATCGTTGAGATGTGAACAGTCATCCAGAGTGGTATGATGGACTTCATTGTAGAGGGTCTTGTTTAATCGGATAGAAACTGTATTCCGAATGGCCTCAATCAGACCAGACTATTCCAATTGAGGTGTTTACATGGACGTGTTCTATTGACTGAGCTATTAGTCAGATTACTAACGGATTATTAGGCTGCATGTAAACGTAGCTAGTGTGTCCAGCATCGGGCAGTGTATTCATAACCATTTTGTATAATAACTGTCTACAATGGAGCTTTTAGAGGTGTTAAAACCTCCAGATGTCTGGTTCCTATCACCACTGCTGTGAAGTTTTTAACAGTGGTGCATTTCACATCAGACCACTCTGAATGACAGTCCCTCCAATCAAGAAGAGAACCGTTTTTTTCCCTGTTCTAAAGCCTTTCAAAACATTTGAGATTTCCATGTTATGAGCGCTGATCATGTGACTTGGGGTCATAAAGGCTTGTGCCAGTTACCATGGAGACGCAAGGGTTTTTCTTTAATAAGTTGAAAGCCAAGGCGGGCTACTGTAGTAACGTTTCTCTGCGTGAATGCATCAAGTGTGTGTGTGTGTGTGTGTGTGTGTGTGTGTGTGTGTGTGTGTGTGTGTGTGTGAGAAATGAGTGAGCAAGAGAGAGGTGGGGGTTGGGAGATCGCCGGGAGGGCAAGGGGGGAGCAGATTGACCTCATTTAGTGCTGTGAGAATAAGTAACGTACACACACACACACACACACACACACACACACACACACACACACTTGCACGCAGCGTCCAGCCCGGACTGCATGTGGAGGTGGAGTGTAAACAGGTGGGTGTAGCGCGTTGGACGGCCTCTCTGCTGGTTGCGCATCATGGATGCCGGAGTTTCATAACAAGCGCATATAGAATTAGTAATACTATATTTGTGAGAACTTCCATTGACGTCTGTATGGCTATTTTTACATCTGACCCCAACCTTCATTTCGGAGGCTATTTCAGCTCCCGTCCACACGTATCCGGAAAACATATTTTTATTTTCTGCGTTTTTATACCCTGACTCCCATCCGCACACTCAGACGGTTTTCTTTATTTATTTATTTATTTTTAATTGAAAAGAAGCTCTGTCTTTTGCAGTTTTTATTTTTTGAGCATGCAGAATTGTTTATGAAATACGGTGGCGACTGGGTTGTTTCTGTGTGTTTGGCAGTTTGTGGGAGAGAACATGTTTACTGAATTCAGCTTTACTTTTTCATTAAAGCCCAGTGCGGAGGCATCAGCATGTACTGCGCTCGGTCGTTTGAAGTGGGACGTGAGCTCGAAGATCCTCAGTGATTCTAAGCGCGCCACTGTTGTTGGAACAAAATCTTGTATCTCCAGAATGGTAACTTTTATAGGAGAAGGAAAAACCTACTTTACTTTTAATGTAAGTCAATGGAACCAGAATTTTTTTGGGCATTTCTTTTGATCCATTCGTCATGAAATTTATACACAACGTAAAGGGCAACAGGCATTTTCAGATTGTCAAAAACTGAAAAACGACAAAAATGGAGATATGTGACTTGATCATTAACTTGATCATTAAAAATGTCAGATTTGGGAAAATTGCGAAGCATTGCTACAGCAACCCAAATACCCACCTGGCTATTTTTCACCTCTTAAGCTTTTATTTTCTGGCAGAAATCAGACTTTAAATATCTGAAGTATTGAGGATCTGATGGCCTGCAAGTCGAAGGCCGTTTACAACACAATGGTCACTTTGTAGAAAATCTGTTTTACCATCATGTTGTTCTTCATGAGTTCTTCCTGGGGCATTCAAGTTCTAAGAGGTATTATTGTTTTTGCATTGTTTTGTGGACAATCAAAGTTTCAAAAATGCCTCAGGTGTAGTCGAAGATATTTATTTCCTTTTTTTTTGGTTTTTTTTTTACTTAAAAGTTTTTTAGATCCAGATACGTGCGTTTGTGGTGCACAAATGTCCCCACTTCTACAAAATGTTCATGCTTTCCCATCGTCATGAAGCGCTCTGGTCCTCACAAAGGGCGAAATACAAGCAC